TGAGGGGTGGGGTAAAAAAATTAAAAATTGAAGTTGAAAATATATATTTTTTTAAAAGCTTTAAATTTATTTTTTTCAACAAAAAATTTGATTTTTTTTTAAAAAATAAATTGTAATTTTAAGTTGGAGGAGTGTTTTGGAAAATGTTTTCCTTAATTTTTGAAGGGAAGTCATTTTCCTTAAATTTGAGAAAAATGAGTTGATTTGAAAAACATTTTACCTAACCAAAATGAGAAAATTGAAAAAACATTTTCTGAAAAATGTTTTCCTTCATACCAAACACACCCTTAAGGTCAAATATTTACGAGGCATGATACACACAATTTGAGTTCCCCTAACATTCCTTGCCTTGCAAAAATAAGCATCTACTTCTTTTCTTCTTAAGGTTAGAAAAGAACATGCATGTATGTGTGTCACACTCACAATTTAGAGTCTAATGTGATCTATCCGAATGTTATCCTAGTTATGGTACTTTGTAATATCGTTTTAATATATGACATATATTATTCGTTAAAAGGATATATGAAGTTATTCTATTTTAATTGATAAAATTGAGATTAAGAAGAAAAATAATGATTTTTTACATTTTTATCGGTTAAAGTGATTTCAAAAGAAAGAAAACAAGAATAATATTCTTTAAGGGTAATATTATTATTAGGAACAAGATGTATTTTAAAAGTCAGAGAAAATTCATATTTGACCCATTTGATAATAATAGGGGCAATTTTGGACCAAAATATTGACGAGCACATTTTTGGATCAAACAACAAATAAAGGATATTTTATTCATTTCACATAATTTAAAGACACTTTTAACAATTTCCGTATAATATATATTATTTGTGGGGTAAAGGAATGTAGCTTTTGTTAATTATTAGGTTACCATTTTAATGAAAAGTTGATTAAATTTTTCACGTGATTCACGGAGCTAGTTGGGAGAATCTTCATGTACTCAAAACTTGGCAATTGAAAATACCTTGGAGATCATTTTGTATTGTAATAATTACTTAAAAGGAACAGTTCTACATGTCACTTGTATAAGATATCTTTGATTATTTTACTAATGTAACATGTCCAGTTGCAAATCATTAGTCAAATATTAAACTAATGAAAAG